CCCGAGAATAGGAGAATGGCGAATAGGAATAATGCGCGCCAAGGGGTTACGCGATAATCAACTGATACATATACCGACTCGAGGGTTTCGGAGAACGAGCGAATCGAAGTCGATCGATTCCCATCTAATCCTATGCCGCGCTTTTTGCAGTCCTCCACTGTCTCAAAACATGAATGCCACCTTATCGAGCGTGGCGTGTACGATTCGCTTTAGTTTGGTTGCGACAAATGCATACATCTTGTTCGGTGCGGATGAGGGGGCGTGTCAGGCGGAATGGATCTGCTGAGCAAAACGCTTTCCTCATCAGTTGCTGAAGAGGGTAAGACGCAGAATTGGTGGAATGCGACTGATGCGAACGATATGATATAGTCTTGTCACTTGCTAGCTTAAACAGCTGGGGAAAACAGGATTGGCGTCGCGCCAGACCGCCCACCTCGTCTGATATGCCCCTCCATCCAGATAACCAGGCTAAACATATGGCCCGCGAAAAATCGCTCCGATGTCACTGTGTCAGCAGAGCTCTCGTGAGACACAAGGTAGATATGTAAGGGTGAATTAGCAATCGCGGAAAGAGTCAACAAAATGAAATAATTTCTTGCAAGGATATCGGCACTTTCAGGAAATCAAGGATGGTTCGTCCTGCGCCCTGCAGGAAAAACGAAGAAGCGAACAGCATTCTTCGAGAGTCTTCTAGATCCCAGTCAATGCCCAGCTAACATTGTAGAACGTATGACTAGGACATTCAGAGTGGATAACATGGTGTCTGGATGGTGGTATGTCCTAAATCTTTCAAATGCAATGTACTTCCACCCTTATTGGGGTCCATTTGTTCAGGAGAGTTGTGGCATTAGCGATGCTTGGCCTCCTTGGATCAGCAACAGTAATTTTGCATTCACTAATGGGCCGCAGAAGAAGACGACAGGGTGCTTTGATTGATTCTCCTTCTAGTTCCAATGCATCCGTTTCAAATGCTACGAAAAGGGTTTGTCGTTAAAAACATTCCAATTTTGACTTGTTGCCTCTGTCGTGTTTCGCTTGTTGAGTTTGCGCAGAAGTTACTGTGCGGCGATTCACAGGATTTACAGTCGACTGTCAATCCGTCCTTTCAGACGAAACGAGCAGAAACTCGTTCGACTTCAGCTGGACCATCAGTGTGCGCATCAACTTTGTCACTTACACCATCTCCTGCAGATCAGGTCACCCGACAGCGCAGGACAACTTCTAGTCGTGAGAGCGGATGTGAGCCATTCCATAGCAAGTGAGTGAATATATAGTTGATGCTGGGGATTTCATGACTTCATGAAAAAAGACAGGTTCCAATTTTCAGGTTCCTCCAAGATTTCGAGCCCGTGAAATTACTTGGACATGGAGGTTTTGGTGTGGTATTTGAGGCAAGAAATCGTCTCGATGAGTGTCCATATGCCGTGAAACGAATAGCGGTTGCAAATAAGTCAGTGATCAGTTCAGATTTTCGGAGTAATTCTGTTTAGGTGGGGGAAGGGAGAAGGAGACTTCCTGAACTTCTTTAGAAATAATGGCAGTTTGTAAAGTGATGCCTACTGTAGTGCTACGAATTTCTGCCAGTTCAATTTGTACGGCTACGGCACTTGGCGAGGCTTAGTGCAGTTCGTTGCGGGCTCCCGTTTTGCACCTCTTTTTCGAGTATTTTTTACTTTGCTTCTCAAACAGCGCCCAGTGCTGGAAGGTGGTAGAAAGCGGATTCGAGCCAGGGATGAGAATGTGCTTTAGTCCAGGTTAAGGAGCATTAGGGTGAGCGAATCAAATACTCTGTGAAAAATTGTTTTCGTATCTAGTGGGAAATGTTTCACCTAGCGAAGAACTTCTTTTCGCCGTTCCCATCTTTACCAGATTATTCCCCGTTTTTCTAGATTCTGTAACTTTAAAAAGACCGGTTTTTCGATTTTTTTTTCATTTTTCTCAAAGCGGATTCCTCTGGTTCGATCGACTGTGAATAGAATCTGTGTCTCATGAACACTGCGATCCGTTTCTAGCCCCGGAGTGACCCAATTGCGATCAACTCCCGACATGTCCCAATCACAACAACTTCCCCTATCGTAGGGACGTGCAAAATGAACCTGGTATCATTACGGCCTCACTATTTTCGAAGCTTCGCCAAAAAAGCCCATCCATGCAAGCGGACTAGTTATTTTTTGTTTTCCCATCGATTACTTTCTAATTACAGTTTATTTAGCGAGCGTGCTATCCAGCGAGTCTTGCGGGAAGTACGAGCCATGGCAAAACTGGATCATCCTGGTATAATCCGCTATTATCACACGTGGATTGAAAGGCCGCCTGATGGTTGGCAGGTGATTTTTTCATTCTATCACAATTTTTCTTGGTAGGATTGAGTTGGGGAGCGTACTACCGAGAGTTGAGGGTTGGGGCATTCGATTTAATTTTGCAACCCCTTCTGAAGCATAAGCTTTGATTTATCGATGAAGCATAAGCTTTGATTTATCGAATTTAGGAAGAAGAAGATTGTCTGATGCTGAAGGGCATGCAGTCGCGTTTCAAACGAAAAGCTGAAGAAAACGGATTGGGTATTGAAAGTTCAACATCATCGGCTGTCGTCCAACGTCCTGTTTCGAAGAGCAGCCTTCGCCAATCATCAGAGTATGTCTTTTTGATGCCTAATGGGCCATTTGGTAACCTGCCGCACGTCAAGGTCTCCGTAGAGGTCCGAGTCAGATCCCAGGCTTGAGTGCTCATTACACTTGGTTTGTAGAACTCTTGTTTGGAACACTTGAATACAACTTTCTAAAGGCGACCGTGTGGTCATTTTTATGTGAACTCACGCTGCCGCGAGGAACCGTGAAAGCGTACTATTTTCGCGTTGCCCAACTCATATGAGCGCCCTTCAG